ACCCAGAACTTAAAATATAGAAGTTTGCACATTTTCAATGCTTTTTGCTCTTTAAAGCACTCCATTTTCCCTCATGCATTATGTTCATTTCCTCATAAATTCCTCATAAACACACATTTTTACCCCCTTATTCCCCAGTCTCTGTGATATACCTGTTGGGTATTTTATTTATACACTATAAACTTAATAACTATACAGTTATTTGTAGACTGTGATCTAAAATGTTGTTTATTTGAAATAAGCGACACAATTACACACCCATGCATGCGCACACACGCACACACACACACACACACACACACACACACACACACACACACACCTAAATCTGTTTTGTCAGCCTGTTACACTTCTGAATGTGTGTTGACAGCTGGTTGCAGACAGAGAGCTGACCAGATTGATGAAGCTGTCGCTGGCCAGGCCTGCAGAGTTGCAGATTTGCATGTGTGTGTGTGTGTGTGTGTGTGTGTGTGTGTGTGGCTGGCTGGCAGGCTGTGTGTGTGCTTGTATGAGAGGAAATTTATTGATTGAAGATTAGAGCACAAGAAAGAGAGAGGGAGACGTCTTTGGGATGGAGCAATGTGAAAGAGGGGAAATGATATGCTAATGAATACGTATGAATAAAAGAGCAGAGAGTGAATATGTGTATGAATGTTAGTGTGCACCAGTGAGTGCTCTTCTTTCCATGTACACATGAATTGAACAGTCTCCTTCTGTTCCTGATGATGTTCAGTGTCACTGTGATTATAACAATACACACCTTAATGCCTCAATGCTTCTTATTTACTCTTAACCACCTCTTAACCATTTCAGTTCTATCGAGTGCCTTCCTGATAAGCAGCTTATTAACTAATTAAGGTTGCTTAGGCAATACTGAACAGAATACTTATAAATACACCTGATCTGACAAAGCAGTGAAGACTAGGATACAAATATATAAACAGACAAAAGAAAGAGGGGAAAAAGAAAGGACAAAAACATTCCTCAAACTGAAAATACAAAAGTTGCTATAGAGTGAAAATGTAATTACTAAACTAAGAGGAAAGAATATTTTGTGTCTCAACAGAAATATTCTTTAAAAAAAACAAGACAGAGTCTATTTTAGATTAGCGTGTTAGCATGCTAACATTTGCTAATTAGCAACAAACACAAAGTACTGCTGAGGCCGATGGGAATGTGATAAACCATTGCATTGTATTGGACAAATTTGACCAGATGGTGGCGCTAGATGAAAAGTCAGGAGGCCACCAAAATGATTACAATTCATTCTGAGGGGGCTTGAATGTCTGTAGCTAAATTTATGGCAATCCATCCAGTTCCATAGTTGTTGAGATATCTCAATCTGGACCAAATTTAGTCTGGATAATACCATCTCAGCAGCATCTAGCATGGCTAAAACTGAAAAAAAGTAAGGGTCTTTGTTTGTAATGGCTCAGTGGACTGGCCTCTGGTTGGAAATGAAAACCAGTAAAACCCACATGCTTATGGCCCTCCATGTCACTTAGCCCATCAAACCACCAGGCTAAGCACTTCCTCAGCTCTCCATGGCCCAGTTTCCAGCTGCGAACTCTTCAGTCAACTGCAGCATTAGCTGGATTAACCTCCAGGCACACTCTGGTTGTCTGTCTTCCTCCTGCAGCACCAGACTCAAAGCTGTCCTTTGGTTCTTCCTGCCTTTGCCCATCTAGCTCTCTTTCTCTCTCCACAGCTTATGTTAAATTCTGTTAGTTCTGCGGCAAACGCACGCCTCTCGCTTCTCTCTCCTCTCTCCCTGTGCTGCTGGAAATGTCATCTCCCTTTTCTCCCAGATATCCTTTGTTCTTCCTTTCTTCTCCTGGTATTATCTATCTCAGTCTCATTCTTGCGATCATTCTTTTTTTTTGACAATATTTCTTTAGAGAGGGGATATTTCCTCCCATTTTCCCCTCCCTTCCCTCCTCCTCGTCTGGATTTTTGGTGTTTTGTTTTTTTTGTTCCTCATTCATTTGGTTCTCTGCCCTGTTATTATCGACTGCAGTGAGTGGCTTTGTGTGGCAGTTCCTGTCTTATCTGGTTCTGTCAGGTGCCGGTTAAAATCCATTCAGCGCTAGGATGCACAAAGGTGGGCTGGTAAAATGCCAGCTCTGCCTCCACACTGCAATGGGAGGAACATTTCTTTAGCTGGACACTGTATGGCCCCAATGTGTCTTGATTTCCTCCTCTTCTCTCTCTGTTTATCTAACCATCAGTGGAAAAATGGAGGGAATTATTTGGATTTGATGTTGTTACTGTGCTTGTGCTGTATCCTTAACTTTAAACATTTTGTTTTGGCATTTATATCTTTATTTTACAGTTTTAAAGGCAGATAATGGAAATGCAGTATGACACACTGTCAAAGCACTTTGTGAACTCTGTTTTTAAAAGGTGCTGTAAAAATAAAGTAATTATTATTATACAACAAATGCCCCAAGGTTAGAATCAATCAAAGCACGTTGCAGTGATGTGCCACGAATAAAGGCATTCCAAAATGCTTCTCATCTAGGGATGCACCGATACTGTGCTCATGTATTCATACTCGTAATCGTCAATCTTCTCCAATACAACCACTTTAGTCTCCACCGAATCAATTACTTTAGCTGCAAGGTTTTCAGCTGTTAGCGAGTTGAGAGTGAGAGCGTGTGTGAGACGATGGAGTATGGAGTACGCAGTAACGCTGAAGCTGCGAATGTAGCAGTGCAGCTTGTGTACAGTTTATTTGTCAGTGAATATATGCAACAACTCCTCAACACCCAAGCCATGTTCGCATGTCTTGCTCTCCAGCCACCTGCTGATCAAATTGAAGGTTGGCCTCGAAGCTATAGTGACAACAGAGGCTCAAGCTCTCTTAAGATGGGCTGACCTCTAAGGTGGACCAGCTGTTCTCCCTTCATTTTTAATTTCTTTTAACCGTTTAACCGATACCATTAAACAGTCAAAATTATTTTTGCCATTAGCATTCTTTTGGAGTAATGTTTCAGGCTACCTGATGAATGTAAGTCCAATACTCATACTCCCTTTAGCTCTGTTTTGTCTCTACCTCCGGAGGATAATATCTAGCTTGTTTGATTCTCATATGACAAGTACAATTTTCTGCAGAGAAAAAGCGCCTATTGATTGGATGCAGAATTGTTTTATATGATACATTCCGAGATAACAATTATATTGCTTTCTCAAAGGTTTGTTTTTATATTGCCACTAAAATGCAGAGTTCCTGCATTAGTATTGGCGAGATGGCTGAATGAGTAACGGTAATGCAATATTCCAGTGTCCTCTGACCTGAATAACAACATTTATACACTGGTACTGAGCCCCAGGATCCTCGCCATGGGCGAGAGAGAGAGAGAGAGAGAAAGAGAGAGAGAGTGAGAGAAAGAGATGGAGAAAGAGAGAGAGTTTATTTTTTTGCTCTCTGTGATGGATTTGGTCCAAACCCTTGAGACACACAAATTAACTGTGACATTTATGACAGCTGGAGATGATGTCCACTGCCCTGCCTGCTCTCACTCACACACACACACACACACACACACACACACACACACACACACACACAAAGCCCAGTGTGTTGCATCCTTGGACAACTGTTTCCAGTTTCTTAGATTAATGAAGCTATTACTCATATATGGATTATATATCTATTGGGTATCTAATGTATGTGCCATGTGTACTATTATAATTAATATTATTGTGTTGTCATTTTCTTGCAATTGTGAACGTGAACAATTATTACAACGGGTTGAAACACTTGCATGACTATTAGTGTGGGGCAAGGGCTTGGGGGCTAAAGTGGAGGTTTATTCTATACTTGCATCTTTTTCAGAATTTAAGAGCACTTTGAATTAAAATATATGCAAAAAACGCTGTGAATTTTTCTTTGAGCCCCGCTGGCAGTGAAAGCTGTGTCATTATGAAGAATGCTATGTTAATAAAACCAAAGTCGAAAAGTGCCTTTCCGCTCTGTGTTTCTAAGGCCACGGGCCTCCAGGGACACGCATCCTGTTTAATCTCTTGGCTGGGTTGTTTATTGACACGACACTGTTTTCTACATTGTTCTGCAGCGATGTGTGTTCATGTGTGAACATCTGTTACTCCTCTGTCTTTTACACATTACTTACTTTGTGCACATTAGATATGCTTATTTTGCTCTATTTCTTTCAGCCATGTGCATAAAAGACAGCATAAGCGATTCAAATGCTTGTTTTTTTTACAAAGAAAGACAACACAATAATATTTGAGGTCAAATCTCTGTCTCTAACTCACCCTATGTTGTAATGCTTTCTTTATTCTCTTTGTCTCCCTCCTGCTCTCGCTGCACACTGACATTTCTGCAGGTCAAAAGCAATACAATGTCTAGTTCACAGCATGTCTTTATTGCAGGATAAATGGGCAGTCATATTATCAGTGTCAGAACCAATTAACGAACTCATCTTAAATATGTTAAATGTACGCTGCAGGTTGAAAATAAATTGAGTCAGATGACTGTGCAGACATTCATAACTGGATTAGTCTATTGATCCGGCCGTGAGGATGTTGCTGCACTTAGTAAGAAATAATTAGTTACAGTCGGTCAATTAGATACCACGCCTGATGAATTGTGTATGGTGTCTCTCATCAATCACTATTTAACAAAACTGTTCTTAATGCATTAGGATTGAACTTTACCTCTGTCGTGTGTGGGCAGAAGGGATTGGTCTTCTGAAACAAGGAAACAAGACGACGCAAAAGGATTTTTTAACGTGCTGTCGGATGACATCACACTCTTAAGGGCTCTGAAACACATGCTGCCAGCTCGCTCGAAACCCAAGGGAAACACATCGAGTCAAATCCCAGATGATGTCAGAACAAATTAAGAGGCCACAAGCCTCTTTGGGATATCCAGACTTTAGGCTGTGTGTTACAAAGACATAGGAAGAGAAAAGAGAAGAGGAAAAAAAGAGAGAGATGTTATCTTTCCCTCCCTTGTCCAGCTGAAAACAGGTGATATTAGAGGATGAGGAAACTGGCATTCCCTTTTCTCAGTTCCTCATATTCTAACCTTTTGGTATGCCTGTCTATCGTTTTGTTAAATGTTGTGACTTTCTGTCCTTTCTGTTTCAATGTGCGGCACTTAGCAGCAAACCTGAAAGCATATTGTGTCGGGCGTCGAGCTTGGGAACTCTCTAACTGGGTCAAATGAAAGCTTGAAGCAGATCTTTTGGGCTGCAGCTTGTAGGAGGCAGCAGTTCCTATTCTAGCACTACCACGAATGTTGTTGTCACGACCATTTAATTAGGTTTCTATCATCAGTCAATGAGAGTCAGTGCTTTTGGGGGTTATTTTGTGATGAAGTTTCATAATTTACCCAGCTGGTGAACCCACTCATTTAAAATATTTATCTTCTTGTATTTCCCTGAATATTTTTTTGACAAGCTCCAACAAGCCTGAACTTGGTGAATATCAGATGGAGCTTTTACCTGTAATGTCTGCAAGATCCGTTCTGGCAACTGTTGGTATATTTCCTTTTCTGCGTTGAGTTTAATCCTGTGAAAAAGTGTAGAAAATAAGTCATGACATGTTGCCAAAAACGGATGTTTGCTGTTGATGCTTAAAAATATTTGAACTATTACACTTACTTGTTGATTCCCTGAAAATGTCTCAGCTACAGTCAGCACTTAGCCTAGCTTAGCTTAGCATACTGACTGGAAAAAGGGGGAAAAAGCTAGCCTGGCACAAATTTCCGGTACGCGGATGCATACGTTGCTTGCTGCGATAATTACATTTCTTGGGGAGGTGTGTTCATGTGTTTAAGGTGGGGAGGAATTTTTGTGACAAAGGTCAACATGTCACAGGAGTCAGAAGACTCTGTTTACTGATTGGCTGCACATCATGGCGTAATCCAAACTGAGCTCAAAGTAGCTTTCCGTAGACATTGCATGGCAGCTCACCACATGCCACGCTTCGCCACTGCTCTGGTGTGTTTTTTGGCATATAGTATCTAATGCCGGATCTCAATTTGTGTTTTCACGTAGTTACACTTGCTATTTTGAGTGCATAAGTGCGTTCACACTGACATGTATGGCAAAATGCAATGCACTATTAGTACCTGGATAGTATACGCTTAACAAAGAGTTGAGTGTGGAAACTTCTCACCTTTAATGGTTGCCATCTTGCAATTTTCGATAAAAAGAAGAAGAATTCGTCATTTCTGGTAAGTGCACAACAGCCATGTTCTATTTGAGACAACACTACCCTTAAATCCAGTGTAGTACAGTCTACATGGAAGTGTACCAACCAAAGTTTCTGAATTGAGACACAGCACGACTCAGCAAGAAAGCGAACAAGCGTATTACCCAAAATGTCAAACTGTAATTTTAATAATCTAGTTTAGGCTGTCACAAAAAGGTCTTTATGTTAGCATTTATTTAAAATATTGCTCCTCCTGAACAGAAACAGCCAGTTCACACATGCACGATTAACAAATGAATGGTATATTTCTCGAAAGATTTATTCAAACAGGACACATGGGCCAACGTCGTATGTTTGCCTATAGACAGTTCAGCCAGTTTGTCAGTCAAAACTTTATTTATAGAGCATTTTGTATGCATGAAAATTCTGTTCACATCCCGTCATCCCTAAAAAAAAAAAAAAAAACCTCTAGAGAAATTTGTCTTGAGTTACAGAGAGTGATTGCCCAGTCTGTTTTTTTATATCTATAAAAAGCCCTTATATAAGCTGAGTAGTCAACAAATTTCACAGCAGACAAGTGGTACAGCATACATATATACACAAGTAGTACATAGCAATCCAAGGCAGCCTATTGCTGCCCATTACAAATTATCATGAAACGTTGCATGAATTATTTTTTTTGTCATTTTTTTGCAGATGCAAAAAGCTGTACAAGAAATCACTGACTCTTCCTTTCATCTTTCAGCTAATGTGTTGGCAAAGCACTTGGATACTATGCAATATCTTTTAACATTAAATACATGAGTGCATGTATACCATACAATGTAACTCAAAAGATCACAAGCTTCAAACATATGACATCCTCTGGTGGTAAAGGAAGGTGAGTAGGGGGAGGGTTGAAGGGTGCGCAGCCGTGAGTCTAACATCTGGAAGCACTTTCCATTAGTCAAATGAGCTTTTTTTTTGTTTTTGACAGGAGATTAATCCTTGAAAAAACACATTACAAAAAACCAAACTGACAGAAAACAAAGAAACAATTGAACCATACACCATAATCTATATATTGCTAGGGATCATGGAGCCCAAGTATGTCTACCAGGTTGCATTCGGATAACCCGTGGTAGAATACTTGCATTGTTTCTTTTATAGAGAGAAAGTTTTACAAACAACAGTCAGTTAGCTCTGAGATGAGCGAGTGGCGCCATAGTCTGTCGTTAATCAGGAGAGATTGAGTAAGCGCACTCTAAACTGATGATCCAAACAGTCTCAGCATTCTCACTGTGTTGGATGTTTAAGCATCAGTTAGGTGTACTCAGTTTCCCCTGATTCAAGGCTTTTGGTCCTGTTGCGTACCACAAAGTTGTGGACATCATATGGAAGATATATAATTACTGTAGCTCTTGTGTCTTGTTTCGTGTGCATGTATGTGTGCGTGTATGTTTTTGCATGTGTTCCAGTATTTACATTGTCTACAACAGAGGCAAAACTGTGGCTCATCAGAAGCTGTTCCGGTCTAATTTATTCAGCTTTACCAACTGCTTTTCCAGGCAGTCCTTTGCCTGAAGGGAGTCATCGAGTCCATTCAGCATGGAGAAAAAAAGTCTGCATCCTGGATGCCTGGCAACAGGGAAATTAACACTAAAAATGTGTTTTTCCAGCACATCAGCAAGAGTGTTTCTTGTGATTGTGGCACGTCTGATGCGCATCTCCCAAAGACCAAGAAGATAATCAAGAATCTGCCGTTCACAGTGCTTGTTGTTTAAACTCTGTCGGGAAAATCATTGTGAGCAATGTCAGCCAACGAAACTTGAGGAAAGTTGAGAAGAAGTTTTGCTGGTAGCCTGTCCTCAGGCTCTGTTTGTCCTGAAGGACTTACTGTAGATTCCTGTTATTGTAAATCCTGGAGCAAGTGTTGCCTTTGTGTCAAACCTCCGGTGCTGTTTGTTAAGTCAACCAGAGAATGAAAGGGTCCATGTCTTCCAAGACCCAAGCACAACAATAGCTATGATGCGGAAATTGTGCAATTCAGTAAGTAAAGACCGACTTCCCCCCTTTCAGCTACAGTCACACCATGCGTTTGAAAGCTGGTTGTTTGAGTACATCAGAGAGATAAAACCCAGAATTAATGTTTTTTAGACGACCCAAACAAATCCAAATGAAAAACAACCATCGCCATATCAGCTGAGTCCATGCAACACCGCCCAATCTTTTGCTCAGCTCTCCGCTCGGTTTGAACGCACCCACACCCTCATTAGCGCTCACCCTTTAAACTCCGAGGAGGACTCCAGACAGAAAGACATAGAGAGAGAGATAAGGATAGGGTGAGGACGGCTGGGCGCTTATTGCTTTACCGACGCATATTGCTTGTTTACTCGCTGTCATTCCTCGTTTGTTCTCAACCTCTAATGCATTCCGAGGGATTAAGGACAGACCCCACAGAATATTTTGGTAGGGCTGTTAGAGGCCAGAAATCTTTTCATACATATGGAGTGACCCACTTAAAGTGTGGCACCCAATGAAAGTCAAAGAGAAAGGGAAGCCGTGGAGAAGAGACCTGCTGCAACATGGTACATTACATACAGTGCAGTGCTGGCGAGAGCATAAGCGCAGATGTGTTTGATGCATATTCACAACATGCATATCCCATCCATGCTTTTGTATTCATGATCCCCACTCTGTGCTGATCCCTTATTACAAAAGCATTGCCGGCAGCTCCAAGCACCACTACAGCAGCCTCGCTTTGCAGGTTTTTCACATCTTGGAGAGGTACAGTGGAGAAGCCATTGCAGCATTACAAACAAGCATTATATTGCTAAGTTATTCTCTCCAGTTAAAGTTGTATTCTGTCGCTCGCTTTATTTGCTTGTGTACATCCACGGCTCCATTAAATTGAGATGAGAAAATGAGGAATTTGGCAGACAGACATTTCTGCTTGGGAGAAAAATCAATGGATTCAAAAATGTATATCTCTTTTACATGAAAGTTTTAAGGTAGCAGGTCTGCACCAGCAAAGCTCCAGATGTGAATAATGTATTGTAAAGCATCTGGTCATTCATGTCTGTGTTTGTGGATGCCAGTGTGTGAGTGTTTTCTTTTGAGTGTGAGAGCTTGAGGTTTGCTTGCATGTGCGTGTGAGCATGAGGGTGTATTAGGGAGTAAATCTGGAGTCTGCCCTGTGACTGACTCTGTCATTAATAATAGTTTGCCCCCCCCGCATGCTCTGAGAACCCAGTGAGAATACCATGCTTTACAACAGCTTGGAGCACTGGGTACCAAACACCAGACAAGTGCTTGGTATCCATCGCTCAACTTTCATGGACATGGATGCACAGAGCGAGGTCCGGGGGGGTAGAAGACAGTCTGTCAGGAGGCTGCCAGGAAGTGGAAAAAGAGAGAGAGAGAGAGAGAGCGACAGAAGAGAGACTGAAAGAGAGAGGGAGCGAGAGAAAGTGCTAAATAGTGTGTGACTTCTGGTAAGCGCTGCCGTTTGATTAGGTTCCACCACCTGTCTGATGTGCTATAGCATGTGCCAGGCATATGCACTGCGGCATAGCTGGTGTCCTCACGATAACAAATGAAGGTGAATTCAATCAGTGAGTCAGGCTGGCTGTTGGGCTGTTCTGAACAGTGGAGGAGGAGGGGAGAACATGTGGTGTGGAGCTGGTGTGGAGATTTTGAAGGTTGAAAAGCAGCTGAAGCAAGCAATTGTCAGCATGTGACAAGTTACTTGAAAAACGTAATATAATGTCAAATATATTACTATAAACAGTAATGACTTTACTAATCCCTCAGAAGCAAGTTAATCGTTACACTATTTGCTCCATTAATTTGATCATCCAAAGAGAAATTCCGGTATGTCAACGTATTTCCCATAGATGTGACTCTACAGGTCATGCAAACTTTGCACTCGCCACCTCCACTCTTTCAAACGGTTGTGTCGGAGTCTGACTAAAAGAAGCCACCTGGAGCGGCCATTGTGGCTAACTGTATAGGGATCTACATCCGAGGCATCATTTATTATTATTGTTATTATTATAAGGATTATTACAGGTCATTTCACTTTGATTAAATGGAACCGCACACATCAGACGAGGAGCTAAATCAAATGGAAGAAAGAAAGAGAACTGAGCTGTCCTGAAAGACATACTTCAGGAAACATGTGGTGTAACTGCTGTCCTGGAAAATGCGCCAGGTTGAAATATACCAGAATTTTCCTTGAAAAAACAACACGTCATAATTTCTGTATTTAATTAAGTAGAGATAGAAGAAATAGATTTTGGTTTATCAAATAGCCAGCCTAGAGTTTGGAGGTATTTACTGACCATCAACAGCTAGCTTAACGTTAGCCCCGGTGACTGCACGCAGCTCTCCAGAAGTCCACACGATGAAGCTTTGGGGTTCATATACCCTTCAGCCTTGAACAAAAGCAGCTGAGTCCTGAATGTGGCTATCGCTAGCGAGCCAGCAAAGAACACGCAACATTTAAATAGCATAAAAGCATCAAAACTTACAATCTGGTAATTTCCATGCCAAAAAAAACTAGATGTGTTTACCGTGTTTGAAAGCATTAAAAGCAGGAATTAAATCACTTTTCGTTCACTGGATGCAAAAGGACAGCATTACAGGGACTGAAGTAAATTGCAGTGCACTGACAAGTGGTTTCAGCCGCTCAGATTATGTTAGCATTGCAGCAGTAAACACATGCATCAAACAGCTGCGTTTAGGAATAGCCATACTGTGAAAAGTAACGCATCGCTGCTTTTTTTCTTCCTACATCCATAAACATTATGACATCCAGACATCATAAACATCCAGACATTATGAAATCATGTCTCTGCAAACTTGTGGATCCGTCTGCTGAATAGAGTCAAATGCAAAAACGGATGTACATGATCTATATTCAGAGAACATAATTTCACTTCCTGGTACAACTAAATGTTTGTACCAATATGCAGCATTGGCTGACATTTCTCTGAAACAAACCCAGCCTCATTTTTTAAACTAGTGTGGAGCAGAGAAGGAGGAGAGAACGCAATGACTTCATAACAACCTATCAGGATACATGGACTCGTTAGCTCCCTTTCTCTGGATCGTGACCCATCGTGGGTTTTCTTTAGAGGTTAACATCAACAGTAACACAAAAGATAGTGACTGAAGTGAGCAGCTCAAAAAACCAATACTAATACCAACAGAGCGCTTGCTAAATCACTTTGCCAGTTTCAGAAGATCAGTTTGTGGAGAGACAAGTGTGTTTCTCTTTGTGTGTCACTGGGAGGTGCCTGTGGTCTCTGAGACTGCTGGGAACAGTCTGTAGTTTTTGACAAGTGTGTGTAGTGTGTGTGTGTGTGTGTGTGTGTACACGGTTCAGATCCTTCTCATCTCATTTGCCTGGAATGAGATGAATAACCAACTCCCTCCTACCAGCCTCTCTGACAGTTTCCGAAAAAACAGCAGGTGATTTTTACTGGGGATGCCATCCCCCTTGTTAGCAAAATGACCAAAATGCATGCCCCTTGTTAACCTGACATCACCCCTCTCCATCTCGTAGTAGCAGAGAGAGTGCAGTGGCAGAGGGGTTGTTTAGTTGAATATGTTAGTCTAGTCTGCCTTACTCATTGATCCTTTATCTCACTGAGGTTTGTGCAAGTTAGAATCCACGGCCCCGACCTTATGGCTCTGAAATATCAGTAGCCTCCACCGGGCGCGGCTGCGCCACATTCCGGCTGTGCCGCCAGCGCCGGAGCTGATCGTGGCCACTCTAGACTTGATTCCATTTTGTGATTCCACCAGACCCGCCGCAGTGTGTTTCAGGAGTGTCCCAAAAGCGGCTATCACTGTGCTGTGTTATGATAAATCCATGGTGCTGTCCATGGTGCTGAAGTAGCAGATGGGTAGTTTGTGGGGTAAATAGTGTGTGTATGCGGGATTTGAACGTTTGTGTGTGGTGGAGTGGTGCTACAGAGCTGTGCAGAGGTGCAAAGGGGTTGAGAGCAGAAGAAGGGGAGAGCTGTGCCAACACAATGAGAGCCTCAATTATTTAGAGGAGCGGCCAGGTTCAAAGAGTCACAGCCAGCACCTGCCGATCCACCACCTTTTGTTTTGATCCAGTGGTCATAAAATAACACAAATATCACTGACATTATTATTATTATTATTGTTGTCAACAATGATGAGGAAAATGTAAAAAAAAAAAAAAAAAATCTGATTATACACGATATTTGCTTTCTCTCCTCTCTTCATTACGGCTTTGGATATAACAGATATCTGAGCATTTCTTTGAAAGTTGCTTACAACTCCACTTGGTTTCCTCTTCTGTCTCTTCACCCATTCATCCCCATGTTCAGACAGTGACCTCCGTCTTGCTGTTGGTGGGCAGTCCCTTGTGCTTGGGGTGCACATGTGGCGAGTGGCTGTAGCCCATCGGCTGCGAGAAGAGCTCGGGCAGCGTCTCGATGCTGAACTGCCTTTTGTTGGAGTAGGCCAGGCGCCGGCTGTTCTGCTGGTGCAGCGGCTGGTGGTGCTGCTGCTGGATCTGGATGGGGTGGTGCTGCTGCCCCTGGAGGCTCATGTGGGTGGCCACCGGGTGCTGGATGTGACTCTTACTGGGGTCCCATGCTTTGAAGGCCGAGCTGGAGGTGAGGGGGTGGGTGTTTGTCTTGGAGATCTTGGGCTTGGGGATCTGGGAGGCGTTGATTGTGATGGCCAGTGGCGCGTGGATGTCGGGCGGCGGGAGGAAGGGCTTGTCCTTGGGGTGGAAGTTGATTGGCTGGAACGTGGGAGGGGACTGGCGGTGGGTGTAATCCACCATTGGGTAGCTCTTGTAGTAGTCTCTTGCAGCAGTTGTGTCTGGAGGATGGGGGAGACAGTAGAGGTCGAATAATTAAGGCAGAGGTTAAATTAGAATAATGACAAGTTAAGACAGTAAATAATAAAAGCAATCAGTGGTGAACGTCACCTTCACCTCACACCTATATCATCTGACTAATTTAACAGTGTATGTTTTGTGTGTGTGTGTGTGTGTCTGTGGCATTTATCACATTGTGACCCTG